GTGTGTGTGTGTGTGTGTGTGTGTGCGTGTGCGTGTGCGTGTGTGTGTGTGTGTGTGTGTGTGCGTGTGCGCGCGCGCACGTATGTCGGAATAGTTGTTCCGATCGTATTTTTGTCGTTGTTGTGTGTTCTCTTGTATTATTGTTTTTTTTGTTTTTTTTTTTATGTACTATGACACAAGCTCCCTTTTAGTTGTGTATGAAGTCAGGAGTAGCTTGCTGCTAGCTTAGTCTTTGACCGCCAGTGTGAATTTGTCAAGACGATGCCGAGACGAGGTTGGCGAAAGCTGATTGCTGGCATCAAAGCGATGACTCGGGGGCTCATAGCATCGCAAAAGAACCGCACAAGTGGAGGTTAGAACAAAAAGTCAATCGGTGATCCTCCCGCGAGGAGCCGCCGACAGATGCCGCTTACGTGCTTCTGGCCGAGTCAGCAGATCTTCCTCTCGAAGGAGGAGGAGGAGGCGTTTCCACATTTGCACATCATGATGCTAGCATTTCGGTGAGAGGTTCGACGGATCGGTTTGGATGTCGACCACAAGACCCCGAAGCCCCGAAAGACTTCAGGCACGCGTCAAAGTCCTGTTCAGGTGCCCAAATGGACTCCCGATGACACGACTGACCCTTTTTAGTCACTTCATTCCAATGTTATTTGGCTAACTGCGGACAAGTGGTCAGAAGTAGGGTGCCTTCTTCACTCAGCAGGCTTTAATGGTCACTCTAATTGGACTTGAAATGTGAGCATCTCTTTAGTGAATATTTGCATCTCGTGTTTAATCCCTCGAAGCACTTTGTCGCCCTCGTGAATGAATAATGACTCATCATTCATTCATGGATGCTAATCATCCGTCGCACTGATGGGACAGCTGGGAGGAGACGTGACATGTGGTCACGCGGGCACGACGACGACGACGCCCCCCCCGCCTTCCCTTCCCGAGCTCCCATGCCTTGTCTTGTACTCCGAACGGATTAATGGCATTTCTATTCATATCCAGATCTGAAACCAAATTTCAAATTGTCATATGTAATGCACAATAACAGTCATTATTCTTGACTTCTGATTTTAAAACTCGTTATCCATCAATTTGTTGTGCGCTGCGTATTCAATATGTGGAGGTGATTTAAACATTTATATGGTTTCCCAAAATTCATAACGGCCCACCGAGGGAAATCGTAACTACAACGTGGCCCGCGACAAAAAATGAGTTTGACACCCCTGCCCTAGCGAGTCAATTGTGGGGCGGTGAATGATAAAAATGGCCGAACGCTGACAAGCAGACGCGTTTCCATCGAGACGGACTCGCTTGGCAGTTCGCCGCTAGCCTGAAAAGCACGACGACGATATCGCAGCGAGTACTGACTTCGAGCCGTCTGCATAAACAAGTGCGCGTACTCCAATGAGCCCTCACGGTGTTGGTGGGGGGGGAGTAGTGGTTGGTATTTAGTGCGTGACTCCCTCCTCCCTTTGAGTCCACGTGGGGGGCTTGGAGGGGAGAGCAGGTGGTTGAGTGGGCGTTCACACGGCGGAACCTCCTCCAAGGTCGAACGGGTCGCGTTTTAATGGGCTGGCCCCGGCCCGCCCGTGTCAGCGAGAATCTGCCGCTCTATTTATTGCCTGGCTGGATGCTTGTTTCTGTGAGGAGGGGTGTGAAGGAGTCTTGGGGGTGAGAGGGGGCGGGGGGGGGGGCGGTCTGGCACTGAGCCTGATGAGCCCACACACAAGGTACGGAAGGTTTCACACTCGGCACCTGCGTTTTACTTTGTTTTCACCACCCATGGTGACATGAGTCCAGGTTCTGAAGATCAGAACGGAGGTTAAAAACCAACCAAGAAAAGAAAGAAAATCCATCTCTAAATATGACCCCGTGAACGGTTTGACTCGACTATTCTTTGCTAGAATCTCGTCAATTCGAGCCACACAGGAGAACTACCGGCCATAATCTTATTAAATATGCATCAGATAGTGTCAGCACTCTTATTTACGGTCGTTATTTGATCTTTCCAAGGGGGGGGGGGGGGATAAAGCACATCACGCTAATAAGTGTCCGCACCAACATGCAAAGTTGACAGGGTGGACACGGCAACAAAACATGAAAGAAAACGCTGAAGATGCAAGCTCAACTTTTTTGTTGTTGTTTTTTGATTTTTTCAAAAAAAAAAAAAAAAACCAGGAGAAATGATGATGAGCTGACCTCCGTTTGCCCTGTAGAAGACGTTTGCATTTCATTTTTGGGGGATTTCTGCTCCTCAGTCTTTTTTTTTTTTCTTTTTTTTTAAAATGGTCGCAATGAAATTAGCGACCAGCACCAGCCCAAATGACGCCCCCCCCCCCCCCCACCCAAGTCTTATCGGCGGCGCCGCTGCCTGCCTGCCGCTTATCAGCTCACACTTAACGCACAGGAAGTTCTTGGAGGGCTGCGCCCGCCAGATAGCGAGCGGCTCACCCCCCCACGGACCAGATTTTAGTTTTCCGTCTTTTTTTAGACCGGGAAGCGTCTTTTCCGTGATGTCACAAATCACACACGTTTCTGTTGCTTCTGTTTGTTTGTGTGACAGAAAATTCTGCGGAAGGTGGCGAACTGGACCTGAGCGGCATCGATGATAGCGAGATCGAGCTGGTATGTGTTTTTTTTTTTGTGATGACCTCACCATATGATGACATATTGGCAAAGTAGTTGCATATATGAAAAGGCCAGATCAAGCCCTTTAATTTGAGGTATGACTCAAAAGCGGTTTGTTGCCATGTGATTTTTGACTTTCACCGGGGGGGGGGGGGGTCATTTTTGGCTGACCATGTCAGCACATATTAGCAACCTAGTTACATATTCGGAATGTGCCCGTTAAGTTGAGGTCTGACTTGTGATTTTTGGCCCTCCTACTTGGGAGCTTTGGCCAGTTTAGCGCCACCCTGAAAATCGTGTTTTGGTGCGCGTATATTGACGGCAAAGTCACAGATCCAGAACTCTCTCGTGGAGACCGTTAATTTCAGGTGTGGCCACAAACATGGTTTGATCTGCAACATGGTTTTGACATTGTTGCTATTGACCTTGGGTCAGCTCGGATACACGTTGACAATAAAATCTCAATATTTTTTTAGGTGATAGTATCATCACACGAGGCCATATTGACAACCGTAACTGACAAATCTGGATAGGCTTTGTCAAGACCTTTAATTTGAGGTGTGACTCGATGTGGTTTGTGTGCAATGTAATTTTTGACTTTGTTACTCGGGAAGTTTTGAGCAGCTTGGCTGCGTTCACGGTGCAAAAAGCATATTGTGAGGTCATAACGTCATCAGGCAAGCATGGACTGGCAACATAGCTACGCAGCTAAGAAAAACCCTTGAAAGTACCCCTTAATTTGAGATAGGACTCCATGGTGAAGAACAAATGTTTTGGTGATGATTTGTGCACCCAAGAGAGTAAAAAGACACATATAAAAAAACAGGGGGGGGGGGGGACTCTGGTTTGCAGTATCTGCTGAGTGAAAACGAGATCAAGGTCAAGACGGCTCTCTGGATGGCGGAAAACTCTGACTACCTCAAAGAGCAAAAAGGTTCCTCCTCATCGTGACGAAGCAACATTCTTGTTGTTGTTGTTGTTGTTGGGCCAAAGGACTGACTTTGTGTACAGAAAAGGAGGCCAAGATAGCCATGGAAAAGGAGTTGGGCATTTACAAGGAAAAGAAGAAGGTACCAAGTCTCGCCTTGCTTTGCCACACGAATCCAAATGCCTTGCGCTCGGAATGCTAGCTCTGGTCCACAAACGCAAGGCCATGATTCTCTCTTCATGGTCGCATAGCCTAAAAAAAAATCTTTGCGGAATCTGTTCAAGAACCCAACGCTAGCTCTAATTTTAGCTTCCAAAGTTAGTTTAGAGTCACCGCTATATTCAGACTTCAGGAAGGCATGTTAGCTTCTTGAGTTAGCTTCGAGATTGGAATCTCAATTCAGAGATTAAAGTTAGCGCCCAACGTAACCTCTGTTAGCGCTACGGAAGACCAATGATACCTTGTGACGTGAGCTGCAACGCTAGATTCCAAGGTTAGCCTCAACGTTACCGCCATCGTTAGCGTCCGGCAATGTTTGTTTTGGAGTTAAGCTTCCCACATTACAGGTAGGTCAATTCGGTGTTTGTGTTGTTGGCTTCCAAAGTTAGCTTAGACATTGAAATCTAAGATTGGAAGCCAACCTGAGTTTCCAGCGTTCCCTCTCACGTTAGCTTCTCATATTAGCTTCAATGTCACCATAAAAGTTAGCTTCTTCAGTTGACTTCCAATGTTGCTCCGTCGTTAACTTCGAGGCTCCTTGACCACTTTGTCACGTGTCGTTTCCCAAACAGCGAGCGACGCCGAAGCGCCGGGCGGACATTCGAGCAGACACGGCCGACGAGGCCATCGGCAAGATGCTGGAGCAAAAGAAAATCTCCACCAAGATCAACTACGACGTGCTCAAGGACCTCAACCTCAAGCCCGCAGCCAGCCCCGCCCACAAGGCCCAGTCCCCCCGAGGATCCGCCACCACCAGGCAGAGCGGACGCTACCAAAGGCCGGGAAGGGGGTCACTCAACCTTAGTACGCCGCTCAGCTCCCTGGGGAAAAGGTTGGTGGCTGGCCACATCCTCTCTTCAATTTAAAAAAAAAAAAAACAACTTAAAAATATTCGTTAACAATGCACTTTTTTTAATCTGTACTTGGGCTGAGGTTTGCCCTGATCATAATTTAAATCCCTCAAAATTCAACACACCTTTTTGTTTTGGCAGCTGAGTTGAACAATCTGCATTTTGCTTAAAACGGTACTATGCTGCTGTTAGCGCAAAATGCTAGCGAATTGCTGCTAACGTGAGGCATCTGTATCGTGGTTTGAATCCGTCAAAATTCAAAGGGCGCACTTTTCTCTGCCAAGTGAAGCAACGTACTTGTAAAACAAGGCTGTGCTGTTCGCTAACAATGATGCTAACGGCAGTACTATCAATGTTGCTAGCGGCGCTGCCAATGGTGGCGCTAACGGTGCCAACAATCTCGCAAAAATTGAAACCAACAAAATTACAGCAAAGCTAGCCATGCGTTAGCAAAAAAAGAGGCAGAGCGACAGCATGGGCGTCATTTCTCGGTCAGGCGCAGCCTGAGAAAAAGCCCCCAAATGAAGGCCCGCGGCCGGGGGGGGAGGGCAGGGGGCAGCACGGCAGCCTTTGAGCTTGTTATTGAAAGAGCGACGGCGCGGCTCTGCTGACAGTGCAGCCATTGTGCCTTGTTGCTGAGGGGGCCACACTGAGGCATTGTGGGGCTCCCCGTTCGACACGCCCCTTTCCACCCCCACTTGGCCTCGAGCTTTCCCACTTTCACACCCTGCTATGGGCTTCCATTTGCACTTTTTTTTGGGGGGGGCTCTTCTCATTTAGACGCACGAAATGCATCATCGTTAATGACATACTTGATCGACTTGAATTTTGCCGTCAGCCATTTTGCGAAGCATTTTGACAGACAGGCCCACAATGACTCTCCATACACCGAATCTACCAAGGGTAAGAATAAACGCTCTCATTTCACCGGGAGGGGAAAAAAAAAACCCAAACCGTGTTTAATTCTTCCTTTTTTCCTTTCTTTTTACAACGAGCAGTAGAACAGAGTGCAGGCTGCGCAAAATGTAGCCAGCGGACGCCCCAAACTGTGCTGACAGTGAGCCATCGGTGCCATCTACTGGCGGCCGTGCATCAGTCGAGGTGTTTCCAAGCTTCAAATGTGCGGCGGAGCAGCGTCATTGAAAAATGTCAACGCGGTGGCAGCCGCTGAGTTGAAGGAATGAGTTTTGTGGAAGGCGACAGCGACAGCGATAAACATGATAGCTGCCTTCCCCGTAATATGCTCGCTAACTAGCCTGACAAATGTTGTCAGAAGTGGGACCCTGCATAAGTTGAATGCTGCACCTTTGGGAGGAGTGAGGAAGTTGGTTTTGGACCTGATTTTTCTTTTTTCTTTTTTTTTTTTTATGCGGTCAGGCTCTCATTCGTCCCTCTGGTGTCGTAGTCAAGCGACCCAAATATCAAATCTGGATTCTGCTCCCTGGAGTCGTGGGACAAATGGCGTCAGAAGTGGCATGCTGGGGTCAGGGGTCTTTCTCGGCTGCCTTCCTGCCATATTTTGCTCGCATTGTTGCGATATGTTAGCCGCCGGTGCGCTTGCCGAACATCCCCGCCCCCGTTCTCAACAGCCTCACTGGGAAAAAAAAAAAAAAAGCAGGATCCAGAAATAGCGTCAAATTGCCCTCCGGTGCACTTCCTCTCTTGTATTTTTTTTTCTTTACCGAGAAAAAGAAAGAGAATTCCTGACGGGGTTTGTTTTCCGGCGGGAGTCTGTGTTGGTTTTCCGCAGTGGAGAAAGCTGGCAGCTCAGCACTTGAGTCGGCAGATGTTTGCCGCTCCCGCCGACACCCCCTTCCCCCGGACGCTTGCGGGCGGGAGCCAAGGCGGGGTGCGGGACAGGTTTTCTCCCAGGCGGCGGCGGCACCGGCGGCGGCAGCAGGTGTCGGTCGCGCCAGCCGCTTACTGAACTGCAGAGAGAAGCAGGTTGGCGCCTGTGTGAAAGGGGGATGCTGTGAAATCGGGACCGGCCTGCAAAGTTTCGCACCAGACGCTGGTCTTTGGCTCCCTTTTGTTGAAAGCAATCATCGCCTAACCGCTTTTGTTGCTTGCAAGCGTCCGAATGTAATCCTGCTGTTAGTTCTTTTACTGAAATGAAACGCACACTAACCCCTTTCACACAGTCTCAGCTCCCCTCCGCCCCCGCTGCTTCCTCTTTTGTTATTGTTGTGTGAAAACAAATCCGAATCCGTTGGGGGTTGACGCCGTTGAGCTGTGGAACTTTTTTCAGCTTCTGAATTACAGGCAGGACTTTTCGGTGTGTGTGTGTGTGTTAAAGGGGTGTGAAGTGTACCAGCTGAGCACTCGTTTCTTTGAATCGGTTGTGTCAAAAGCATTTGTCGCTTACCCGCTTTTATGTGGCGCTATCCAGGAATCAAGGACATTTATCGTCACGTACACCGCAGAAACACAAGTTGGTTGAGGTTAAATGTCATCTTCCCTTCGGTTCTTCCAGTGAAGCTGAAGTCACGCTTACCCCCTTTCACGCGGCCTCGGCTTTTTGGAGCTATTTCGTAGAAACCAATCAGAAGGGTCGGGGATGATGTCGCTGACCTAGAAATTTTCTGCTTCTGACTTAGTGTGAGAGCTGTAACCCAATAAGGACGATTGGTGTGTGTGTGTAAAAGGGGGTGTGCAACACTTGACACAGCAGTTTTAAAGTGACCGGCGCAAGTTTAACACAGTTGTCAGACGGTGAACGACAGATGCATCTGTTCGACTTCTGAAGGTGAAAAAGTTGCAGGTCCCCGTTCACCTCGGTCGATACCTTTCACACAGAACAGCGAGACGCGGTGGGGGGGGGCTGTCTTTGTGAGAACGTGGATTTCGATTGCTGGTCTTGCAGGGATTCCACTTCCTCTATTGTGCCTTTAAGCGCACCCCAAAAAAATCCGGCGGCTAAACTCCGTCAGCCGTCAGTCGCCTTTGCGGCTCAGGCGGCGCTAAGCTGATTAGCGCCGCGCCGCTAAAGCCGGCGGCTACCGATAGCCTAATGCGGGGGTGCCGCGGACACCTCATTAGGTACCCCAGATGACGTTGGACAGTGATGAAATCTTCTCTCGGCTAGCTTAGCGGCTAGCATCAGGTTAATTTTAGACAGAGCTGATCCAGACCCATGACCAGTCCGAGTCCGAAAGAAGTGCGGTCCAACCGCGATGGACTCGGCGACCGAGACTTTGTTCGTGTGGTTGCCCAAGTGCGCACACCCCTCCGAGATGGAGCCGTGGCCGTTGCTTGTCTTACTTTGGAGCGCTGAGCGGATGAGAAGAAAGAAAAGCAGCAGCGGGATGTAACCCGGCAGAGGATGTTTGCAGGAAGCCGTCAACTCGTCGGACCCGAAGGCAAAAAACACTTCCGTGCCTGCGCCGCAAAAAAAAAAAAATCAACCAGTCAGCATGAAAGTTCAACTTTGAACAACCAGCGTGGGCCACGATGGGGACCATTTTTGTCCCCTCGTCACCTCATCGAGTGGGACGAAACAGTCGTCGCTTCCGCCCGCACAAGAAAAGACTTGATGTCGGTGCGATGATGTCATTTTTTTTCCCTCTCCTATTTTCTTCTTTTTTTTTTTTTTTGCGCAAGGCGCGTGTTGAATGTTTATCGGCATTTTTTTGGAATCATTTTGGGGGTGTTCTGGGCTCAAAAAGGACATTTAATGAGTAATATCGTCACAGTAGTACAAAGTGAAGCTCCTCGTTTGAATTCAAAGGATGCCATTTAAGAAGAGACAAAATTGATTGCGAAATCGAGCCGAGAGAGACATCTGCGGCGGCGACGCGTGTGAGAGCGCCACATATGGGCCTCTTGTTGTCAGCGCCGGCGTGATTTATGCGGCGGTGGCGGTGGCGGCAGCGGCGCGTCGGGAGCCGCACCCCCGCGGGCTCCTCTTCAAGTCGGTCGTCACGGAGACCGGGCTCGGCCCAAAAGTCTGCCGCCCTTTGACCTCTGACCTCCACCGCTCACTTTTTGTCACTTGTAAACGCTGAAACGCAAGTAGCTCCCGCCAAATGACATGATTCCGTGCCCCGGCTGGCCCCACCAATCAGAATCATCAACAACATCATCATCATCATTAATGAATGATAATAATGCCCATTAGAAATAATAATCATGGGCTCCATTTAGTATTCATGACAAGTTCTTGGCGGGGTCATGTGGGAAAGTCCCCCTTGGGAGGCACGGGGGGGGGTGGTGGTTCGCACAGCACATGTTGGACGCAGTGGGGGCTCCTCCCCCTCCCTCCAAAATGGCAATCAACATCTTTTTATTAATTTGTTAATTTTTTTAATCAGGTAGTTGTTGGCTCGTTTGAAACCTCTTGGAAAGCCGATTCCAAATGTCAGCTCGAAAATAGCGGCAATGAAATGTTTGAAGTCATTTTATTATTTTTTCATGGTGTCGTGTCGTGTAGCAAAAAGTTTCTTTTGATTTTGTTTTTGTTTGTTGTCAGGTTGCAGCCGTTTGTGACCGGGCAGCCCAACAAGAAGATGGCCGTGCAGCAGGTCAGATCATCACCATCATACACACGCTTGCCCCACCCAGCCGGAAATTAGTCGCACGTTTGACGGGGGGGCGCTTGGGCACACTCGCTGTCTTGCGCACGGGACGCGAATGATTTTGGGGACGAGCCGGCCGGCATCCGCTGCGTGCGGCGTGGAGTGCTGCAGGCCGTCTCGCGCTCCTCCTTCTCGTCCCGGTTCAGTTCTCCTTTGCTTCATCACGCCGCGGGAGAAACGACGTTTGCACGAGTGCTGGGGGGTCAACAAGCCTTGTTACTTAGCAACCGCCACCCCCCTCTTGGGAAGGCGAAGCAATCGTCCGACGCGATTGGTCGAGGCCGTTGGCCTCTTATGTAATCTTGCAGATGAGATGAGACGAGCGCTCCATAGCCGACTCGCTCGCTCTCTCCCCGGAACTTGTCGCTAGCGCGATGCCGTGGAACGTCCGGACTTTCCTCTCTGTAAGCTTGAGGGTGAAATTGGGAGGCCCAAGTCTTGACGCCGTCCCGGGAATCTGTCGAATTTTGTTGCCACGAGTCTTTTTATTCTTCCCTTCGCGTAAGCTGAAAATCAAAGACACCGCAGGCTGGGCACGGCCCACTTAGCCAGCGCTCACCTGCAAACAGTGTTGGTTTGAGTCGGCAGGCAGGCAGACAGGAAGGAAGGAAGGAAGAAGAGCAGCAGCTTTGTTTGTGTGGAAAGGGCGAGGATGAGGAGGATGAAGAGCGGGCCGAGGCGCGGCAAAAGGGAGACGTGGCAAAGATTCGTCGAGGAAGAAGAACGGAGAGGAAAGCTTGGCTCACCGTGACCAGCGTCATACTTCTCGTGCCTTCTTCGGGCATTTTGTGGGTCCGCTCGTGAGAGACGGGCCGACCAAACTTTGCGGTGTCTTAAGTCAAACTTTGGGAGCCGTTTTGACAAAAGTTCTCTGGAAAGGACCAAAAGTGAAGTGAAAAATGGCCACGCTGAACCAAAACTGCAGACTCTGTGTCTCTTTTGGAGCATGGCTATTGGAGGCTTTTTTGTGGGTTTCCTCACGATCGACGAGGCTGCCAAATCATATGAGACCAAAACTGCCTTTTGGAAAGCATTGACGGGACCTCTGGAAATGACCAAAATAAGCCTAAAGGGGCCACTTGACACCATTTTTGTGGGTCTATTCATGGTCGACAGGCCTACAAAATTTCATGTTGTCAAACTGCCTTCCCGGGGTGAATTTTAAATACATTCCAAGGATCACTGGAAATGAGCAGAATAATATCTTGGTTAAACCAAAATTGTAGCCAAACATGGCTTCTTGATTTTATTTCATTTTTTTTTTTTTTGGGGGGGGGGGGTTAAAACTGACTTTGGGAGGTCAATTTTCAAAGCCTTCCAAGGACCCCTGCAAATCACCAAAATGTGCTTCGTGGCAGACTTGACATGTCTTTGTGGGCTTTGCCTCTTGTGACTTTTTTGTGGGTCGTCTCGTGATAGACGAGGTGACCAGATGTCATGCAGCCAAATCGCACTGAATTTGGCTGTTCCATTTGGAAAGAGAAACTGCATTTTCTTCCTCTTGCCTGTCAATAAAACACACACACACGCACTCGCACGCATCCATGTTTATGAGTTGTGCCACTGGGGATTTGTTGACATCATCCGAATCGGAAAAATCTCTCTCCCTTCGCTCAGCCCTCCTCGGAAGCCCCCGTAGCCGCGGCGGCCCCCCCAGCCCCGCTGGTGGAGAGCGGCCCGGTGGTCTACGACGACGCGGTGGCCGAGGAAGACGAGGACGAGGAAGAGGAAACCTGCGTGAGCGCCATGGCGCTGATCGGCGCTCAAGGTCAGCCGGAGGTCGTCGGCATGTCGCGAGCCGCGTCGCTTGGCGCCGCAAACTTTTTTTAATGAGCGCCACCGGTCACTTTGTCTCCACTTTGCCGCAATTAGCGCGTTTCACGGATCTCGCGAGGCGGAGCATCCACACAGTCGCAGCGACCGTTTTTTGACCTTTGGCCTTTTTCCGGACTACTTTGGCACCTCCAAAGCTGTGAAATCAAGGAAATGTGAAATCTCAACTACGTTGCACATGATTCGGACATGTCGAAGCTCATTTTATGCTCCGCTGCGTGAAACCCAAGGAAATGCCGAAATGCCAACTGCGTTGCGGCAGCCATTTTGAATCGTTGTTGTTTTGTTTGTTTGTTTGGTTTTTTTGTCTTGGTTTTTTTTTTCCCCCCGGCAGATTATGGCTGTGACGATTACGATGATGGCTTCTAGCAGCGGCTCGTCGTTTCCTCCTCTGATGCGGCGCCACTTTGCACACTTGAAGGGTTCGCTAGCCGGGACACAAGATGGCGGGCGCCCAGCAGAACGGACAAACCTTGAGCAATGAAGACGACGGCGACGGCGGCACAGACGGCATGTGAAGCCTCTGTGACGACAGGTGGAAACGCTTCACGAGCGCTGACGAAAAAGCTGCAAATGCCGCCACTTCCTGTTTGAACAGGAAGTGGCTTTAGAACCATAGCGGACGAGCCAAATTTTTCGTTCCTACGCGGAAACCGTGAAGCCGCATGAGCTCCTGAAGCTCATTTGTTTACAAACTTGAGTTGAGTTCACTTTCATTTTATTTATTAGCATGTTCGCTAGCAAGATGTTAGCTTCTGCTGCAAAAGTGCCCTTCTTTCAAAGAATAATATTATGAGGAAAATGCGATTTGGATTTGAATTTGGTTAAAAATGTTGGGGGAGGAGTTTTTTGTTGTTTTTTTTTTCCTGGACATTTTCAAAGAGTTGTCTTCCCTTTTTCTTGACTTGATTTTATTTTCATGATATTTGTGCTGAAAGTTTCCACCAGGGATGCTGGTGAGGCGACGGGGGCGGAGGCACCGTACGTGCTCATGTGATGTCACGTGATGTCACATGACTGACCAATGCGATGCCGCGTCCATCAATGTAGCATGGCGTCACGTCATGTAGCTCGTCAGTTGTTCTTTCGCCAATCAGAGCAAACAGGAAGCACTCCCCCCCCCCGCCATAACGTAACTTGTTGAACTTTATGCCTCATAATTCCACTTTATCAATAAATACTTATCAAGCATGCAAAGCAAACTCATTTTTGAAAGGATACACATTGAATTCCCCACCTGCTAATGATGATATTTGTTTTGTTTTGTTTTTTTTTGGTCTGGTAAAGTAAAAGGTGAGCTGTTTGGTCGCACTGTCGTGTGGCGCGGAAAAAGATCCCCGTTTGAATCCCAAGTGGATCCATCTTGATTCCACTTGCCGCTGACAACGGAGCGAGGCGGTGTGACACTTTCATTTATTTGTGATATATTTACAAGCACACATACAAGCACACAACTCCCTGCTGCTTTCATATGCAGGTGTGTGTGTGTGTGTGTGTGTGTGTGTGTGTGTGTGCGTGTGTGTGTGTGTGTGTGTGTGTGTGTGTGTGTCTTTGCAGCCCTGCAATTATGCGTCTTCGCGTGTTGGTGTGGCGCAGGTGGGAGAGACAATTTAATTACAGGGACGACGACCGAGATGACTGCAGCCCACCTGCAGCTGTGTGTGTGTGTGTCTGTGTGTGTGTGTGTGTGTGTGTGTGTGTGTGTGTGTTGTGTTGTTTGTCCTGCGCAAATAACTTTGGTTGTTTTGTAAGTCTCTGAGGGAAGAAAATGAAATCTGGTGCCCTTTAAAAGTAACATTAGGAAATGTCACACTTTAAAATAGCAAATAAGTCTTCATTCCGCCGTCCAAAAAATGGCAGGCCAGTTGTCCAGGTGGCATGACTCAAAAAAACAACCCCCCCCCCCAAAAAAAATGCTTTGAGTAGATTTTCCCCGGTGGTGGCAGCACTTCATTCAGCACAAGCCATCAAATAAAATGTTGTCAATTAGTGTTGCGGATCCGGGTGTGGCGCACGGGGGCAGAAATAGTGCCAAACGAGAGATCAGACGCAAATAAGTGATTTCGCAAGCTAGCCGAAAGCAATGCATCGTAGTTGCCTTGGAAACCGGAGAAAATGCCCCCAACATCGGGACCACAACAAGTGAGGTGGGAGAATGTGTTTATTTTCGGCCTATTTGGATGAATTCCTGGGGCGGTCCGCATCGCCTTGGCGCTATTTAGCGCCGCGCACCTTGTCGTCCTCCCACGCCGCACGCCCTCGCCGACCTCGTTGCCGACAGCCGCCGCGACGCAGACGCAGACAAACGGACAAAACGATACACGAGAAAAATAAATCAAATGAAAAGAGATGTAAAAATAGACGGACGGAAGGGTAGACGCCGCCTTTGGCCCGCGCTCGACGCCCACGCCGTCTGCCGGGGAGCCGCTGCGCTTCCGGCCTGAGGGGACCGCGATGCGCCAAACCAAGCGTCCAATAGGAAGCCAGAAATCGGCTCGCTCAACTTGAGCGAGTGGCTCCCAGTCGGGATGTCTGCAGACATCCTCGGAGGCGAAGGAGATGGGCGGGGGGGCGATTTGCAACCTGAGGCTTTAGGAGGCACCTCCGCACCTCCACATGAGCGCTTTGTCTCCATTGTTGCTGCGCACCGAAGACAAATTCATTCCAAAAAACAACAACGTAAAAGCAAATGTGTATTTTGATGCGACACCAAGATAATCACGACAAGCGCTCTTGGTGAGTTGTCGACGATTCCTTTTTAGTCATCGAGGGTCACGCGCCCTGGACCGCCCTCTGCTGTTGACTGAAACAAAAGTTCAAGCACCTTCGGGCTCGCATTAACGAGAACAAACTGGTTAGACGCGACAGCTTCAACGTTGAACCCAAAGCGTTCCTACCCGCGCCCGTCCAGAAAAATAGCAAAAAGAATGAAAGCTCCGCCCTTGGAGCACTTTGCGCGAGGCAAAATTTGCGTGGTGACCAATTCCTGAAGAAATTTCTCCCGTACAAAGTCAGCGGTCCGTTTTTGAGCACCAAGATGGCTGCAATTGGCGCACCGCCACGGCAAAAAGACAGAAAGAAAGAAACTACGCGCACAAAACCTTCAGACATCCTCGGAGAGATTCAAACGTGTGAAAAGAAAGCTTAGCGGAATACACTCAGCTTCATAAGCGGCTCATCTGATGACTCAACTGTGTGTGTGTGTGTGTGTGTGTGTGTATGTGTGTGTGTGTGTGTGATCCTGTTGTGCGTGCAAGGCACAAAGTTTGCCATGCGTCTGAGGTCGTCTAACCCCCTTCGCACCCTCCACGCAAATGTTGTGCCTTTCACACAGAGCACAGCATTGATGTGGCTGTGCCTTTGATGCGGGACCGAGAAGCTTCAAGTTGAACACTTCCCTCCTAGCTTGTGGCTGGATTCCTTTTCGCGCGACAACCAAATCGCGTCCAACCCCTTTCAAGCGAGCTATCAAGTCCACCATTCCGAGTGAAAGATCCCAACGAGCGGCGCACTCACCAATTAGCCAACCTTGCAGATCGTGTCAAAGGCTCGAAGGAAACCCGAAATTCCTGCATCGGACATGGAAGAGGTGAGTCGGCGTTTGATCTGTCTGTGCCTTTGGCGCATAGCAAAGTGATTGTCAGGTGTTAAAGTCCACACCTCGGTCCTAACTTGTCATGACCCCCTTTCACACATTCACCCATACCGCCACCAAACCCTTTCCCGCTCCCCATTAACTTTCTACTGTTGTGCGTGAAAGGCACGAACGCGGAATGCAAATGAGCTGGCTTCAGAGGGAGGATCAAAGGCTTAACTGAAAGCCCTTACACACCGAGTTTCTGGGAAATTGCTGCATCGCGTGTGGAATGGCAAAGTTTGCCGTGCGTCTGAGGTCGTCTAACCCCCTTCACACCGTCGACGCAAATCTTGTGCCTTTCACGCAGAACCAAGTGAGTGGAGGTAGTTCAACGTTACGACCCCGTCCTGGATTTCCACGCGTGACCTCTATTACTACCGAACGACAAAAACAAACAACGACAAAAATTGCAATCCGCTGCACCTCCCCATTCTTTGTCCCTACTTTTTACCCAGAACAGCGGCATGGGAAAAAAAAGGGGCATGTTTGCAGGGAACATCAAAGAACACGTTTGAAATGTTTTGCCTTTCATCGTTGGGCAGTTCAAACGAGGTTACGGCGCGTCGTCACCCCCCCCCCCCCCCCCCCCCCCCCCCCCACACAGTTGCGTGAAGACGCTCGCCTGCCGGCCCCTTCGGCGGCATCCTCCCACTGATGAAAAAGAGCGTCAGTCATCTGGTCAAAACTCAGCGTCTGTAATTTGCCACAAAAGGCGGGACACACCCCGGCAGGGGGAACCGGGCCGCAACCTCCATCATAGAATCAAGTGGAGGGAAGGACGAGTGCCGCGTTCTCACTCAAGGTCAAATCTTTTTTGTTTTGTTTTGGGGTATTTCTCCCCCCCCCCCCCACATCGGTTCTCTCTGTGTGAAAGGTACCAACGTTGAATGTTTGATTGGCCAATACCAGACAATTTGCCATTTGCATCGTTGGGCTTCCGTTGTGGGGAAAGGGTGTGTGTGTGTGTGCGTGTGTGTGTGTGTGTGTGTGTGTGTGTGTGTGTGTGTGTGTGTGTGTTTGTTTTGCAATCGGAATGGTGACTCGCCTGCTGCCAGACGTCTTTGCCTCATTTCATGTTGACTCACCCCCAGTCAGGTGCATTCTCGCCTGAGCCTGTCGCGCCCGCACACGCCCACCACACACACACACACACACACACACACACACACACACACACACACACACACACACACACACAAAACAGACAAACGGCACCAATCAATTTGGATTTCTTTCTTCTTCTTTTCTAGCGTGTGCGCACACGTGCGATACAATGTACAATAAGTTGCAAATTCCAGCATTCGTGTGTGTGCGTGTGTGCGTGTGTGTGTGTGTGTGTGTGTGTGTGTGTGTGTGTGTGTGTGTGTGTGTATCTGCAGCTGAGGTCAAAGGTCACTTAGCTGTGCTCAGCTGGTCACTTTGCTTTCTCCCGCCCTCTTTTGTTCCCCGTGGGGGGGGTCAGAGGTGGTGGCATGCGGCTTTGCGATTAGACCGGCACATCTGTCTTGGAGGAGGAGGACGATCTCGTGCCTGCACACACTTCCCTTACATGCAAACACACACACACACACACACACACACACACATACTCCATCTGGCCTGTATGATAGCAGATGCTACACACACACACACACACACACACACACACACACACACACAAACACTCTTTCGTGTAAATACACACAGCTGCTTCTCAGCCCAACATATTTCTTTTAAAGTTGTTGTTGTTGTTGTTGTTTTTTTTTTTAGTAGCTCGCACTGGAAATGTTTCCTAATTCAGCCCCAAAGGCATTTTCACTTAACCTGAAATTCGCTAGGCTAGTCTATCACGAGTGGAACCACAAAAAAGTCCCTGGTCCTCTGGGTTCTCTGACAATTGCCATATTAACCTGTCCCCCCCCCCCCCCACACACACACACACACACCATACCAGGCCCCTCCATTATTATGACACAACAAAAGACATGTTTGACGATTGCGCTCACACACACACTGACAACTTTTCCCCGGCACTTGCTGCCACAAAATATTCAAATGACTCACATCCATTCACAGGACACTTCATTAGGGACAGCGCCTTCATCGGGTCCATCGCAAGAACCCGCTTTGAATCGAAGCTGTGACAACGCCTTCAGTCTTGTGCGTGTACTTTGAATGTTCCTCTGTCGAATGAAAGCAATCGCCACAGTCCCAAAAATGAAATGAGCATGGAGGTGAGCAAGGGGATGATGGCTTTGCGCAAGTGCCGAGTCACGTTGTGGCTGACCCATTTCTCACTGGCTTCCGATTGACGCGTAAACCGCGGCGCCCCCGAGAGGCGCATCCGAAGCCTGAAAAGCTTCAGGATCTTCGACGGCGACGGAAGGCTGCTCGTGTCAAAGTAGCACAGAGCCTCCCTTGTCATGAACAAAAGAAAAGTCTTCATCAGCATCTCCTCCGTCTTGTGCGTGCGTGCGTGTGTCACGTTCTGCTGTTGCCATGGTGACGCAGCGGGAACAATGCAGGCCTTCACGCGCAGATGGAACAAAAGTTCCTCACGAATGTCTCGGAATACTGACGTGTGAACACGACTCAACGTGCTCACTCGCTGATTTTTGATGCGGTCTGTCAAGTGTAATTACTCGACTTCGCCACTAGGTAGAGCCGCTGCATGCAATCGATTGCAATCTCAACTAGATGAATTCAAATTCAGCATCATATACAAGACGTTTTGATTTTGATCACCAACAGGGCAGAGGTCGTTTGACCTCACGTGTACAAATCAGCACCGAAACATTGGATGTTCACCGTCGAGCTTAGTCGAGTTTTGACCTTTGGCTCGGCCAAAGCATAAAAGTCAACGTCAAGGCCCAAGGTCACAAGGTTTTAACTCGGACTTTCCAAGTCCCTGAGTTACTTTCTCAATACGGTCTCATATGATGACGTAGTCACGCGAAAGGTTTTTGTTTTTGTTTGTTTTCATGATGTTGGGGCCTTTGCGCAAGACGTGATCTTGAGCCACGGTCCAACATGGCGGCCGAGGCTGAGTCATCACATTTGGCGGCCGCCACGCGTGTTCAGTGGCAGCGTGGCCGAGCGCTGTCACTTTGAGGATGCGGCTCGTGGCGACATCTGTCAAAACAGGGGCACCCCCCCCCCCACCCGCAGGCCGCACGACCACGCGGGCCTTTATCTTGCCGCCATCCCCCGTGATGCATTGTGACAGGCTGACGGCTGGCGTGTAAGTGAGCTTTTAGCTCGCATGCACACACGCGACCACACTGACAAGTGTGTGTGTGTGTGTGGGGGGGGGGGGGTCACTTACAATTTTTACTCCCATGATGCACTGATTCCAGCTACATGTCAGAATATTTGAAAGAGTTGTCACTCAGTATGAGCTTGCATCGCAACAGACTCGGTTTCCTGAATGCGTTTAGTTGAATGAATGGATTCATATCCTTTCAAAAGGCAAACTTGCTTGTCAAAGCTTGTACTGGATTGCATTAGAGGGCGTCCCGAATGGACTGGCAAGACCATGTACCGTATGCGACAACAAAAGCCATTCTTATAATATGAATTCTTTATTAATGAGGATTATCTCTTAATAGCTTTAAAATGGGAGCTTCAGTGACATGAAATTGGCACATCCCTTAACAATTCAAAAGAATATGAGCACACTAAAAGATCCATATGTGATTGTATGGTTCGTTATCACGGAAACCCAACGTTTTGTTTCGTTTTGTTGACGACATAGCTGCTAGATATTGGACCAACAGCGCCATCTGCCGCTATAAGGTAGAGGCATTCTTTCGTGCGAAGCAGTTGAGGCGATCGATAACGGGTTTTGTGTAAAATGTAACTTAACGAAGACAAAGTCCATAATTTGTGTGTTTTTGAAAGAACTGTATGTATATGTTTCAATTTCTGGTTCTAAGAAACAAGAGAGCTCTCAAAAGTTAGTTGAGCTCCCATTTTGACGTCTTCATTGTTTCTTATTTTATTTTTATTTATTTACTTAATTATTTACTGATTTATTTGTCATTCTATATTATTGTTGTTATTATTATTCTACCGTGTGTCGTTTATGTCTAGTTTGACAGACATGTTTTTTTTTAAGGTTGTAGTAGCGCAATATATCCAGAAGTGGCAACATAGCGACAGTACGGGAAAAGCCGCGATCAGGACGACGAAGAAGTAGAAGCGGAAAAGGAAGAGGCGGAGCCATTAGAGCGCTAACCAGACAGACGAAGATGGCGGACGTAGATGGTGAGACAAGTGCGCACGCTGCCGCGGACGGTCTATATTTTATGATTGTTTGAATTGAAATTAGTGTTATGGTAAAAGAGGGGTTGCAGCAGTTTCACATTTTGAAGAAAAAAAGCGGCCCCCAAGAAAAAAAAGAATTCAACTCGGTGACGTACACTTGGCTGTCTAAATTACTATATATAACCGTATCCAAAGATTCCAAATGACCTTTTTTCAATGACAACCTGTTTTAAAGTAATGTCAAATATGTAATTGTACCAATTTGATAATTGTCGAAGTCAAGTGTCATGCTCGCCGTTGCGGCAAAGCCACGTGTGCACCGTGTAGAGAACGGGTCGGGACTCAGTGAAACGTTTTTACGACTAGAATTCAAACTCAGTCGTCGCCTTCTGTCGCAACCCCGTTCTTCGTCGTTGTCTCGTTTCCGCATGAATGCGGCCCCATGTCATGGTTTTGTTGTTTTTTTTTTTTGCTCGATTGGCCTTCAGCACCCCGTTAGCCTCCGTATGCTAGCTGGCACGTGTTGCGCGACAGACCACGTGGCCCGCCCATTCGACAAAGTCGCGAATTGTGAAGGCAGCCAAACGATGGAAAGGATAAGAAGAGAAATCATCGAACACACGACTCGAATATTTTTTTTATTATTGGTATTGATTTCCATCGATTATTTGTCCTCAGTAGTGACTAATGAATTTGCATTTTCAAAACGCACATTTAGTCGAATTAGATTTTTTTTCCAGGTCAGGGATTTTCCTTTGAATCACCCTTTGGAGACATGGGTTGGAGCAACCAACATTGCGTTCAAAATGCTTTTGTCGTGTCTAAGAATGTTAGCATCCAGCCCTACGGATGATATCAAATCTTAACAGCAGGACTCCCACCAAAGCTACACAACCCCAGTTGTGGGAAAGGGTTGAACATGACTATGGCAGTGATTCTTTTGCGCTCCACTGGAGGGAGTCGCCGCGTTGTTTTGATGGCCTTGGTCATGTTTTCATGCCGTGCTGTGTTTCCAGGTTCAGCAAAGAAGAAGAAGAAAGGCAAGAAAACGGTGGAGGATGTCGGGGTGAGTGACAAAATCGACGCCTCTGCCTTGTGCGTTGAAGTCTGCTCGGTGCAGCTCCGCTCAAAACAAAATGTCATCCGCCAGGAAATCCAGCAGAGCGGCGACTTCCTTATCCAGCCCGAAAGCAAAGTGCCCACATTGGACACGTCCCAGTGGCCTCTTCTGCTCAAGGTGGTCGCTCATCTGTCAAATTCCTTCCCCGCCGCCGATGCGACATGATGAATCTGTTTATCCATTCGCCGAGTGGCCACCCGCCC